CTGATGTACAGACACAAAAAATGGGAAAGTAGACGAGTCTTGCTCCGAGACTGTGGCTTCACATGTTGCTCCTAAGTGTTACCTTCAGATTTAGGATGTACATCAGCTAATTGGCAGCCAGAGGGAAGACAATTACTCAGAAAGAGCAAATATGTAAGATTTAACAGTCACCCCAATGTGTAACCCAACTCACCAATAACAGGCAGATGGAACCTGTGTGCTATCATATGCTATCCTGGGACACAATGGGGTGGCACGGCCGAAATAAATGTAATATGAAATACCAAGCAAACCCAGATTCAAGAAGATCTGATTAAGCAAAAGGGAATGGGACTGTTTCATTCCCTGTGTAGCCCAGAACCAAGGAGACTAGCATTTTAGTAAAACATCAAAGTCCAGCAGTGGAAATTACAGTCTAGATTTTAAATGCACTCACAGTGGCATCCATTTGCCCAGAGAAAATGAAGTATGCAATCCCAGTTTATTAACATTAACTAGCTGGGCATGGTAGTGTCCCTCGTAACCCAGCACTTAGAAGGTTGAGGCAGGAGGATCGCTGTGAGTTGGAGGCCAGCCTGGGCCACATAGCTGAGTTCAAGGCCAGGCAAATTAGAGAAAGACCGTCTCAAAAAACTTGCAAATAAATAAAAATCTCCTAGCTGTCTTAAATGCAAATTTCCCTAGGGAGGATCAGGCAGAAGTCTGAGGTCAGCTTATGCTAAATAATGAGTTTATGTCCAGCCTGAACTATAAAGACCCCATTTCAAATTTTAAAAATTTTCTAGGCCAGGGCAGGCCAGATAGCTCAGTGGATTAAAGTACCTGCTTAGGCAGACGCAGGGACCAGGGTTCGATCCTCGGCATGCCATGCCAGCCCCGTCCCTAAAGACTGGGTGTGGTGGCACGCACCTGTAACACCAGCGCCTGGGAGGCTAAAAACAGGAAGATCACTGAGTCTCATCTGTGCGTGAGACCCAGTACTAAATACATAAAATAGGGGCCAGGGAGATGGCTCAGTAAGGGCCCGAGTTCAATCCCTGGTTCTGCCAAAAAAAAAAAAAAAAAACCTTTTGGGTTGGGGAGATGGCTCAGTAAAATAAGTGCTTGCCTGGCAAGTGCAAGGGCCTGAGTTCAGTCCCCGGTTCCGCCAAAAAAATAAATACATAAAAATAAATAAATACATAAAATAAAGTTTAAAAATATTCTTAGGCCTTACTTCAGATCTATTGAATGAAAATCTGCCATTTTATTTTGAAAAATGATTATTCAGTTGTGTCAGACAGTACATTAGTACATTGCTGGTTTGAGTCACATTCTGTCACATCACTATACTCTGAGCTGACAGGGATGTTTTACTTTTCTGGTGTTGGAGATTAACCCTAGAGGCTCGTGCATGGCGAAGAAGTGCTTTACCAAGCTACATCCCCACTTCTTTTTTTTTTAGGGAAGGGTCTACAGGGTGTTCAGGGTCTCACTACTAGATCAGACTTGCAGTGATCCACCTATTTACAGCCTCCCAAGAGCTGGAATTACAGGCACACACCAACAGTAGGCCCAGGGATTGAACCCCCTGCCCCTATGCCTGCTTACAGGTGCTTTAATCCGCTAAACTATTTGGCCAGCCTCTACCTATTTTTGAGACAGGTCTCTATGTAGTCCAGGCTGGCCACAAACAGCAATCCTACCACCTCAGCCTGGGGCAGGGGAGATGGATCAGTGGAATAAGCACTTCCCTGGCAAGCACAAGGACCCGAGTTCAATCCCCAGTTCCACAAAAAAAAAAAAAAAAAAAAAATTCCTGATGCCCTACCACCTCAGCCTCCAGGTGCTAAGATAACAGACGTGCACCACCTTACTTGGCTCCCAGTCCCTTTTTCTTTTCTTTCTTTCTTTTTTTTTTTTGCGGAACCGGGGATGGAACTCAGATCCTTGCGTTTGCCAGTCAAGCGCTTATCCTACTGAGCCATCTCCCCAACCCCTCCCAGTCCTTTTTTTTTTTTTTTTTTTTGGTGGAACCAGGGATTGAATTTAGGCTCTTGTGATTGCCAGGGAAGCACTTATTCCACTGAGCCATCTCCCGGGCCCCTCCCAGTCCTTTTTTGAGACAGGGTCTCACCAAGTTGCCCAAATTGGCCTCAAACTTCAATATTCTTGCCTCAATTTTCCAAGTAGCTGGGATTACAAGCATGTGCCACTGCACCTGGCTTATTTTTAATGGTTCAAAACACAAAAGAGCTGGGAATAAAGCTCAGCAGCATAGCACCTGCTGTCAAGTATGAAGTCCCGAGTTTTGATTCCTGGTACCAAAACAAAATACAAGAGGGCCAGACAAATAACTCAGCAGATTAAAGTGCCTGCTTAGGCAGATGCAGTGGCCAGGGTTCGATCCCTGGTGTGCTGGGCCGGCCCTGCCCCCAGGGCACGCTGAGCCAGCGATTGAGACTGGGCATGGTGGCGCTTGCCTGTAATCCCAGCTCTTGGGAGGCTGAGTCCGATCTACTAGCGAGACCCTGTAGAACCTACCCTGAAATACCAAAAAACAAACAAAAAAGAGAAAGATAGTCAGACAGACACACACTGAGAGGACAAGCATTTTTCACCTTGTCGCTATCCCCCATTCATCCATCCATCCTAGAAGCAATTGATGTTACCAGTTGTTTATCTGTCCACAAGAACCCCCCCTTTTTTTTTTTTTTAATTTTATTTCTTGTGTGTGTGTGTGTGGCCAGCTCAGCCCACCTGTGGGCGGGGCTGGCTGGCATGTGGTGCTGGGGGACTGAACCGCGGTCCCTGTGCTTTGCTAAACTTGTTCTAAGTAGGTGCTTTAGACCACTGAGCCATCTCACCAGCCCCCACAAGAACCCTTCTTACACACAGGCAAACACAGATATTCCTTTAAATAAGAGATAGCAGTAATAAATTGTTATGTGAAGAAAGCAAAATAGAGAAATGTTGATCATGGAAATCTATTCCTACTAGTACAGAGCTTCCTGCTGTTGGGGGGTACATGACACATTTGATAGGGTCTCACTCTGTAATTCAATCTGGCTTTAAATTTACTATGCCATCCAGGCTGACCTTGAAATCCTGATGATCCTCTTGCCTCAAGCTTCCCGAGTGCTGCTGGGATTACAGGAAGGTGCCAGCATTCCTAGCCTTACTGTGTTTTACATTTCTGTATCGGCAACTTTATAAACAAATCATTTTTTTTTTTAATTTATTTTATTTATTTTGCATTGTGTGTGTGTGTGTGTGTGGCCAGCTCAGCCCACCAGGGGGCGCGGCTGGCTGGCATGTGGTGCTGGGGGATCGAACCGCGGTCCCTGTGCTTTGCCAAGCTTGTTCCAAGTAGGTGCTTTAGACCACTGAGCCATCTCTCCAGCCCCTAAACAAATCATTTCTAATCTTGCTATTATACATCTTTTCATACCTATGCAAGTTAGTACCTATATGACAAATTCTAAGATATAGAAATGGTAGGCCACAGAAAATAGTACAAGTATTGTAATTTTGATACATATTGCCAAATTTCCTTCTCTAGAGATGATAACAAGTTTTGGTCCCACTCCCAATGTTAAAAAAAAAAAAAAAAGTAATTTTCGCTGCACTGAATATGAATAGTGCCAACAGCTTACTTTCTAGGTGCTTCCGTGAAAACATTATTTTTATAGCCCAATAATATAACAAACAGCATTCTAATGGCAGCTTCTGGAGCTAGGCAGATCCTGGGTTCAATCCCTATCACCACCAAAAATATAAAGAAAGGAAACAAATCAAGGCACTTCCTGTACCATGGATATGTGCATAGTTGTACAACCCCTATGGGAGGTTTCTGGCTATTTGAAGCCAACAAAGAGCTGAGAGAAAGGAGAAGTTGAGGTTAAAGCATCTCTTTCCATTTTTAGCTTACATGCACACAACACTGAAATATCTTTTCTTACTTCAGCATTGAAGATTTAAAACATTCCACTTACTACATAAATTGTATTTTTATTTTACTGTTTTATGTTATTTTATTTTTTGGCGGAACTGGGGTTTGAACTCAGGCCCTTATGCTTGCCAGACAGGCACTTATTCTACCGAGCTATCTCCCTGGCTAAACTGTATTATTTTATTTATTTATTTATTTTTAACATTTATTTGTGTGTGTGTGTGGCCAGCTCAGCCCACCAGGGGGCGGGGCTGGCTGGCATGTGGTGCTGGGGGATTGAACTGTGGTCCCTGTGCTTTGCTAAGCTTGTTCCAAGTAGGTGCTTTAGACCACTGAACCATCTCACCAGCCCCTAAATTGTATTATTTTAGTCAATAAAAGCACTATGCTTGCCTAGCTAGCATACTCAAGGACCTGAGTTCCATCCTTAACACTCCAAAGAAACACCCAAGGAGGAAAGAAAAAGAGGGCGGCAGCAGGCTCTGTAAGTTAGATTTATCAGAGTCCTACACAAAAACTTCACTAATAACCTGGCATGATGGTGCTGGTACACACCTATAATCCCAGCACTTGGGAAGCTGAAGTGGGATTGCCTAGCGTTCAAGGCCAGCTTGGACTACCTAGTGGGACCCTGCTGCAAAACAACAAAAGCAAAGCAAAATAGATTAACTTTACAAATTAAAAGCAGGTCTCAAAGGGGGCTTTATAACTAAGGAAAAAACATCTCAGGCACAGGATCTGCTGAAGGGAATGAGCTACTAGAATACAAGTGAAATGCTTACTCTCCTTTATAATACAGATTATGGAGGGAGGAAAAGGCGAACACACTTTTAACTAAAACAGCTGACGAGTTTATTTTCACATTTCACAATACAAATGAAACTGTACTTTCTGCACTTTTGTTTATCATACTTCTCCCTTCAAGACTATTCTTTGATAGGAAGGGGGAGCAAGTCTTCCTT